ATGATTTGCTCTTGGGCCTTGTGCAGGGTGGACATTGTTGCAGTTTTTGTGTATGTTTGTACTAGTGAGCTAGCCTAAATGAGCTGACTCATTATATAGTTCACCAATAGAAGGGTTAACCAATCAGAAAGCTCAAAATATTCAATGCGACATGTATTAAGGCAGCCATTTTTTCTCCCAAATTGTCTGCACTGCCATCCTGAAATCGAAGACTTCAAGAATTACTTAACAACCGCTAATTTCTCTGAATCTTCACTGCCGACCTCTGATACTGAAAAGGTTACGGACTTCACTGGATTCCATATTCAGAGACTGCAGCAAACATGGTCAACAGACATCACTGTAATTTTTTTTCTACAGAATTGCATTTATAAGAGAATTTATAATATTATTGAGTACAGGATTAAAATGCAGGCCATGTCTATTTCTATCAATATATATATATATATATATATATATATATATATATATATATATATATTTCGAAGTATCTTGCATTACGAGATGAAACTGGAAAGGTTATAACGTAGAAAGAACTAGAGCATCTTAACAGATATCTTATTCCAGCTTAAAGACAAGCCAAGATTTCCCAGGAAGCATTTTGATCCCTTACAATATTGAGGACACGCAGCAAAGAACAAACTTAGAGAAACTTATTGACAATCGAAAACACCAGAATAAATTCTTCATAAAGTATTGTTAAAGACGATATTTCAACACAATTATTGGATATAATTCATCAGTCATTTACGTCATGATTAATTGTATTCTTAACTCCTGTGTTCCAAACACAAATGGTTAGATTCAGGGTTAATTTTCCTTAAATTTCATGGAAGTGGCATAGCGTTGATTTCGTAATTCATGCTCATTATTTTTCAAATTGCATACACCACAACGGAATTATTATATTCCGTGTTCTGCTCATATGAAATTGTTGTCTTCCACTCATATAAAAATTACCGTCAGAACGTTAATTTCAAGAGGCTCGCAAATATGACCGGAAGTATTGTCCACTTGCATCAATGCATAACAAGGATTTACATTTGATTCATTTACTTGATTATAGAGTCAAACACCGATCAATACTCTTAACTCTTATATCTATCTATCTATCTATCTATCTATCTATCTATCTATCTATCTATCTATCTATATTATTATTAATATTTGTTATTTCTGATGAAAAATTGAGGACAATTTGAAATATTATATATATATATAAATAAATAAATAAATACTTTCATAAAATAAAACATTATAATTTTTAATTTGAAACTTTCTCTCTCTCTCTCTCTCTCTCTCTCTATATATATATATATATATATATATATATATATATGTATCTCTCTCAGTCTTTCTCCTTTCTCTTTCTCTCTCTTTATATATACATGATTCTGTTCATATATATCAATATATATCAGTGGCTTTTATCTATATACACACACACAGACACACAGTCACTTACACACACACACACACACACACACACATATATATATATATCAGTCTGTTCATATATACCAATCTATCGCAGTCTCTCCATTTTTTATCTATCTATCTATCTATCTATCTATATTATTATTAATATTTGTTATTTCTGATGAAAAATTGAGGACAATTTGAAATATCATATATATATATAAATAAATAAATAAATACTTTCATAAAATAAAACATTATAATTTTTAATTTGAAACTTTTTCTCTCTCTCTCTCTCTCTCTATATATATATATATATATATATATGTATCTCTCTCAGTCTTTCTCCTTTCTCTTTCTCTCTCTTTATATATACATGATTCTGTTCATATATATCAATATATATCAGTGGCTTTTATCTATATACACACACACAGACACACAGTCACATACACACACACACACACACACACACATATATATATATATATCAGTCTGTTCATATATACCAATCTATCGCAGTCTCTCCATTTTTTATCTATCTATCTATCTATCTATCTATCTATCTATCTATCTATCTATCTATCTATCTATGCAAATATCAAATTCATATATACCAATCTATCCCAATTTTATCTATCAATATATCTATCTGCCTATCTCTCTCTCTCTCTCTATATATATATATATATTTATCTAGATCTAAATATATATATATATATATATATATATAACTGTCTATATCTTACTCTCTTTCACTATCTATATATAAATAATATGCATATATATATAATGCACATAAAATTTTTATAAATTAAAGTATAAATAGAAATATATATATATATATATATATACATATAAATTTAATGATAATATATCTCACATATAGAGGTGTTGTTAATAAAACTGTGCTCGATGTAATCGTAATACATGCTGTGTGCGAGGTATAATATATATATATATATATATATATGTGTGTGTGTGTGTGTGTGTGTGTGAGTGTGTGTGTGTGTGTGTATGTCTGCCCACATGTCTGATATATACACCTTATCACTGAGCTCCTATATGAATGTTCCCTTCTGTTAGTGTACTATAGCTTGGGTTACAAAGCCTATTCTGCATATCATACTCGCATAATAGGGCCTCGGAAATTCATTTGAAATCTGCTTTTATATGGCTGTTTTCCATTAGGTACGCGGAATTAGTAAGTGTCGATTATAATGCCCTCTTGATTAGTCATGTGATAGCATCATAAACTCCACAAATTCAACTTATTAAAAACCAAGTAAAATTACCACCAACCGCAGCTTACGTTAGAATCCTCTTCAAACTGTCAAGTTCAATTTCAGTAAACATTCAAAGATAAACATCTAATTAAATAGTCTTATAAATGTAATCAAATGAGAAGGCAAATGAATCGAGCAATGTTTTGGTAAAATCGATCATGACTCACGAACCATGTTATCTAATCATTTCCTTTCATTCAGAAATATCTTGTCAAATAGTATCACGGCATTTCCTTGCGACGTGATCATAAATTATACAAGAATTATAATGAAATTGTTTTCTTACAAATTAAGAAGGGTAGAGGTTTTACCATGGAATATTTTTTTCTGTAAAGTAAACACGTGTTTGATTATAATATTTAAAATTTATAATATTATCATTATTATTACAGAATTACGAAATATTTTAACGCATATTCTGATTTCAGAGTATTTTTCTATATATGTAAAACATATAAATAGTTACAATTTCGAAAATAGGAAAAAATGGAAAAACAACCTAACGACAAAAGTATATGGCTTAAACTTAAGATCGCATATATTTCAGGGAATAAATAGAATAAGATATTTTAATTAAAGCGGCACTTATATCTTCAGATATTTTAACTTCTATTTTTTTAAGGTTACGTGTTTCTTTCTATAAAAATATGCTTGTTTATATGCGCCTGTCTTTCTGTCTGCCTGCTTCTATCTTTCACTCTCATATAGATTAGTTACTTTTGGACGAAAATCCCAATGAAAGGTAAATATATAAGAAAATTAATAAAAAAGTTAATTTGTGTTGTTTTTCCTTTTACTTCAGGAATAAATTAAAAAACGAAATTTACTCATGCCGTTAAAATCGATTGTCAAATTCTCATATATAATTTATATCTAAGAATTACCTCCCGTTATATATATATATATATATATATATATATATATATATATATATATATACAGTGTTACCTGGATATAAGAGACCCGGATATAAGAGAAACCCGGATATGAGAGAGATTTTCTGGTCCCAAATTAGAGCCTGTGTTAATGCAAACAAAATAGACCAAACCCGATAAGAGAAACCCGGATATAAGATAATTCTTCTCCGGTCCCGACAACTCTTATATCCGGGTTACATATATATATATATATATATATATATATATATATATATATATATATATATATCTCGAAGGGGCTAATATATATATATATATATATATATATATATATATATATATATATATATAAGGCGAGGTATATATATATGTGTGTGTATCTTGTGTGTTTGTGTGTGTGTGTGTGTGTGTGTGTGTGACTTTTCTGGAAGGTTATGCTTTAGGGGCCTGGCCTCGACCACAATTGATCTCGTTAATCTCTTTCGGAGTATTTGTTTCCCACATGATATCAATTTTAGCTTCAGGAATATATGGCTTCTTCAATGGAGAAGGGAAAATGCTAAATAATTAGATTACAAAATGAAAAAAAGAAAATTGCTTAAATGACTCTGAGAAACCAGTATGTTCAAAAAATTGGAAGTCAAGTAACCTAGATAATATGTTTAAAAAATGGAGAAAAGCGAAAAATCCGAGTAACATCATACAATCAGAAAGACGACATAAGATATTTCCTTGCCTCCAAAACCACCTCACATTTCAATAATGAAACATGCTAAACTGAAGAAGCCAGTTGAAGCAGAACATACACAACCAATCTTTACAAAATTCATCTCTAATCTTAGACAATAATGAACCTCATGATAATGAATTTAAGAAAGCTATTTAAAAAAAAAATAAACTGTAATAAAACATCCTTTAACATTGAGACTGAACTTTTAAGAAATAGCTCAGCTTTTCACACGTATTCAATGACAAGTTTCTAAATCACATTGCGAACGCCTGGTATCAGAAAAGATGTCTTTAAAGTAGGGTTTATCGTAAATTAATATTCTAAGGAATATAATTTAGCACTCAAGATCCTCACACAGAGTGAGGCACCTTAATAGGATCCATTATTTCGAAAGTTTTGATGAACTTTATATTAACTATGCCCTTGACGTTATATGAGTTTCAACTCCTCACAACCCAGGTTGTTTCTCTCTCTCTCTCTCTCTCTCTCTATCTATCTATCTATCTATCTCTCTCTGATAAATGTGGCAATGATGGTATATGTAATTGAACAATTCTAAGAGAGTCCATACCTCTCCAACAGAAAAGTGTGTACCCGTTATAATGGAGTCACCGCAGAATGTGACCACATCTTCTCATCCATTACAAACACCCCTCCGTGTTCTTTTATCACTTAATGCATCAGGTTAAAACAAACGTTCCCGTACGATCATCGAAGTTAAGCAACTTTGAGCCTCGTCAGTACTTAGATGGGTGACCGTTTGGGAATACCAGATGCTATATCATTGGATGTGCGGTCGGTGTAATGGACAGTGACTCGGAATTTTTAATCGGAAAATCGAGTTCCAATTCTAGTTGAGTTCGTTATATTCACTGACGCATAAATACCCTTGGGAAAGGTATGAATCCACCTCTTCTCCCCTAGCTATGACTAGGATAATTAGTATTGTATCCCTAAGACCATTATTATCTTAGAAACAAAACTGCGTATAGAATATTTAGGTTTCGGCATTAAGTAACCATAGAGGTTACTATGCCGCTAAAAGAAAAAAAAATTGATGCATTGATTTATTGAAATAATTATGTCGCTCCACCGTATGCCCAGCGAGGACCCTGAATGTTTCCGGAAAGGGTCCTCGCTGGGCATACTGGGCAACCCTCAAAAAATCAATCCTTTTTTCCATTCGATATCCAATGTATTAATGATGAGAGTGGTGTTCTGATGGCTGAGTTATTCATAATTTGGATAAAGATATACTTGAATCTAGAAATAGAACTAAAGATAATCTTTTTGAAAACAAAAAAATATGATATGAAATTGGAATGAAATCACTCACGGTACCTACCTTGAATTCATTAAGAAACTTCAAGATATGGAATATTTAAATACCAACTACTTCAATTTCCCTCGGTCTATAGATCAGATACGACAAAGATAGCATAGAAGATAAGGTAATTGAATCTATATCTCTAATTCTCAAAATGTGCGTGTGTATGTATGTGCGAGTGATCGGATGTTGTTTAAGCGTTTCCATAGTTTCATCCGATTTCGATGTTTTTTTTGTTTTTTTTTTTTGTTTTTTTTTTTTTTGTTTTTTTTATGGATATTTTTTCGGTGCCAGTTTTCAGTTCAAATTGGCTGAAAAACTAAAACCTTGAAGCTGAAAAATCGAAAAAACTGATTTTTTACACTTTGCCAGAAAATCAAAGGCAAAATTTAATGTCTGTAAAAAAACAGCGTACAATCAATTTAGAGAGTTGAAATTGAACGCAAAAGTTTATTAGAATTATAAAATAAAAATATAATTATTATTATGACGGTCTCTGGAAGAGGATCTTTCCTTGCAATATTGGGAACGCAAAAACGGCTCTTATCAGGGCCACCCTACATTCAAATTGTTAGCCCCCCCTTCCCATTTGGGGATGTGCCTCAGTTGGACCCAACTGTTGTGGCTAATATTGATTTTCGGGTGGGTTGATTTTAATTTAAACTGCTCCAATTGAAAAACAAACATTACCAATAATGAAACCCTCGGTCGAAGACGGGTTATACTCATAGAATAGAAGAGGGCTTGTAAAGTTAGATACTTACAAGGCAGATTGACGGTAAGAGTAACAGAGGAAAGCAGTGTGTAACACTTGATGAGCATGATAAAATTGATGGTTGTTGAAACTTGACTAATGCATGGAATAATAATACAACACAAAATGTACTTAGAACAAAATGTATTGAAACAAGAAAGTGTACACAATATTTACATATAGTCTTTTGTATATTCCTGGTAAGACCGTTCCTGGAGAATGTGTTGACTGAGTGGCAGTCGGGCAGAGTCTCTGATTGAATCTCTTGATTCCTCCCCTTCTTCCCGGTACCAGCCATATTTATAGGGTCGGTGCTCCACTATGCAAATTAGGTGGATCCTACCACAACAATGGTAGAACAAGATATGGTACAAATAGCAAAATTTCAAAACATAAAAAGAGCTACAAAGGATAGGAAAATATGGAGGGCCATGATTGCCTAAATCCTGAAGGTACACGGCACATAAAAGAAGAAGATATTATATTACATCCCAAACGAATTTACTAATAGAAAAAAATCAATCCTTTATATTAATACGGTGTGCTAGAAAATAGCAATAAAACCAACAAAATTGCAATATGAGGTCTGATAAGAATGGTTATTGAGACATTAAGTTAAATAAGCCCCATATACACTGATGTCTTCAAGGACACATGGCGCAGCGAATAAAGACGTTGGTTGTATCCAGTAAATTTACCCAAGGAGTTGTGAGTTCTAGAGTTGAGGTAAACGGAGATTAATGAGATATCCGGATGAGGCATGGCACGTGTAACTAGAGAAGAAACTACTCTCGTGGACGAAATAAATGGTTAAGTTCAAAACTCCAATCACCTGAAAAAGGCTGGAGCGTAAAACGGCCGAAACGTCCTTAATATGACAATAAAGATGAAAAGAAGAGATGAACAGAACAGTCCGAACAGTGCAAATAATGTAATAGATGGAAATGTCATTAAAAAAGCAAATATGAATCATTCATATAAGAAAAAAATACGGTAAAAAATCATTCAAATATGTTCATACTTACAAAAATTCAAGACAATGAAGCAATAATTTCTCACCTTTTATTATTCAGATACGCGGAGACAGCTATGACAAAGAAGACAGTCGATAAACAACAAAAAGGCAATAAAAATGCTTTGAATATTTCGTAGATAATATTTCAACCATAAAATTCAGATAACACCATTTATATATATATATATATATATATATATATATATATATATATAAATCAATTTATGTGTACACGTCGTATTATCTACTCCCTGAGTTATCTTGAATATATCAGACCGTTTTTGTCTTTCGACCTTTCAGTATAGTTTGATTTTATTCGATATAGATCTCGTAGTTTGGATAAACTTTGGCGGATTATTCAATGCCGAGACACATCGATTTCTATTGTCGCGAACTCACTGTCACATCATGGGGTTTTCTCTCATGAGCAACATTTGTTTCCTGACTACGCCATTCTTTACGAGATAATATTTGCGGCCGTTGTTGCAAATACGTGTCAGAAAAAAAAAGAAAAAAAAACGAGATAAAATAATACATGTAATAAAAGTTAGACATTTTTTGTGCTTATTTGTGTAAGTCGATCATTTCTGTAAAATTACGTTTGAATATAAATTAAAAAAAATATTACAGTAGGCGAATTGTTATTGCCTAAAAACGTGGAGAATCTTACTTGCTTTCGTTCTCGCTACATATATATATATATATATATATATTGTGGTGGCACGGAGCAAGCGAAGGACCGGATGTTAACCCTCAGAGGTCTAAATAGCAAATGACCAATACTGGCCTTTGCGCACCCGGCTCCACGCAGAATTTCCGGTGGAAAATAAAAAGAAATAAAAAGAATAATAAGCAATTTCCACCAATAAAACGGCTCCCCACCAACCCAATAAGTGTTGACCGCCGACGTGATTTTAACACATATATATACACGCACGCACAAAAAAAAAAAAAAAAATTGAACTGTCAGAAAATTAGAATTTTTATTCAACACAAACCAAAAACATGGCAGATGACGCTGAAGAAACTACAATTAATCAAAACCAACCAATCCAAACTGTTGCGATAAAACCACCAAACTTCATTGAATCAAACGTAATAGCTTGGTTTTGATAATGGAGGCGCAATTTAATATTGCAAATATAAAACAGACCAGTCAAAAATTTTTAACACTTTGGCAGCTCTACCTGTGGACATAGTAGGAAATATACAGCCAACTATACTGCAATCAAAAGATTACGACGCACTAAAAGAAGCAGTGACGGGCGCTTACGAGAAAACAAAACCAGAGATGCTGGACAAATTAATGTCGTCATCGACTGTAACAGGTCGTCCCTCAGTATACCTGAATGAACTTATGTCATTAGCAAGCCGAATTGGCGTAGGGGACGATATCGTACGTCACAAATTTATTCAAGCCCTACCTCACCCATTAAACCAGTGATAGCTGCACAAGTCGATTTAGACACAGATCGTCTTGGAAGAATGGCGGATGACTTACTATTATATTTTAACAAACAAGACACCGCACATATTCGACAGATTTCGGGAAGCAAAGGGATGAACAGCAAAATAAAAAATGAAACTAAAAGGATACATGGCTGTTCCCACAGTGAAAATAAATTCCCTACCAGTGTTCGCCCTTTTAACAAGGACCAAAAACCTCTAATTTGCCGAGCGCATTTATACTTTGCGGAACGTGCAAAATTTTGTAAGCCGTGGTGCAGATGGCCAAATAAACGGAATGTTCAAATGCAACCCAACTCTCGCCCATTCACCAGTTCCTCGTGAGACTTCGGAAAACTAACTAGGCGAGAGGTGTTAGCTTCCACTTCCTCGCCGCTTCTCATTGTAGCCGCACGGTTAGGAAGCTCCATACACAGGTCCATTCCAAGTATTAAGTCGTCATGAAAAATATTTTACTATTAAAAGATCGGATGACGTACATAGTAATGTTTCAATAGATAGACTAAAACCTGCATATATTTCTGAAAATATAAAATCAAAGATTCCATTGGATCAAGACCGGATTTGGAGAACTCCCTATCTTGTTCCGAAGAAACTAATGATAACAAACCAGAAACTAGAACGAAGTCCGGTAGAACGGTTAAATGGAAGAAAGAAAACACATATTTTTATTACTGAAAAAAAAAAAAAAAAAAAAAAAAACAACAACAACAACAAAAAAAAACAACAACAACAACTCCGTTTACTGGGGCGAAAGTTATGTGGTGGCACGGAGCAAGCGAAGGACCGGATGTTAACCCTCAGAGGTCTAAATAGCAAATGACCAATACTGGCCTTTGCGCACCCGGCTCCACGCAGAATTTCCGGTGGAAAATAAAAAAGAAATAAAAAAGAATAATAAGCAATTTCCACCAATAAAACGGCTCCGCGCCATACCCAACAGTTTGCTTCAGCAGACTGACTCTGAGCCGATGGGCACAAATAAATAGAGCGATAAATTCACTTCTGTAGAGAAAGCTTTGAAGTACCGTCAGAGAATGTCGCTACGCTTTCCTCTCCCATCACCAGACGCCTCCAGCCTTCCTTCACCACCGGAGATACCGAATGACTCCTACCAACCCATTGACCTCACCTTTCATCTCCAGTGACCAGCACGCCTTAAACTTAAGTATTAACAAAGTGACTCTTATATTCCTTTAATAATCCAATTTCTCT